CGAATTTCAGATTTCAGCACATTCGGGCTTTGTAAAAAAAACACCTCATTTTCAGTTCAGATTCGGATTTTCGAATCATTCAGGTTTCACACACCCTTAGTCGGTATCAAGGAATGTGATTAGTGGACAAAAAGTGGAATGGATGTTGTTTAAATGAATTTAAAATTGTCTGTTTGGTTAGTAGAATATAACTATGTAATTGCAATAAAACAATGATAAATGACCAGAATAAATGTTCATTACATTTTCATTAATTTCTTTACTTCAATTATAAATACAGTAAATTAGAAAAAATTGTCCATGTGGTTTATAGAAACTGATTTTGTTCACTCGACTTCAACAGGTACACTTATAAACCTTATGGTTTGCATTTCGTTTTGGATTGGGTCCCTAGTCGAAACATTCGTTTAAGTATCTCTTGTGCTAGGCATGTGAAGGCCGATTTAGTCATTTTACCTTTTCTTCTATAATGTACAAGTATGTAATGGATATAACAACTATTTCTGATTTCAAAAATAAAAGTAAATAAACCCTAAAACTACCTTTTGATTTAACAAACGTCACCCCCTGGAGATCTTGATCTTGACGGAGAAGAATCATAAACCATATCCTGATCACATTAGCCATGACGAAAACAACCATAACTTTCTTCTTCTATTTTTTCATATGGGGCGAAAATCATCGAGGGAGTAAGAAAGGGACAACCACCGCCTTACATCTCTATCTCTATATGCTTCGGGTTCCACTTCATCTCCATCATGTGAGGGCATGTAACCCACTTAACAGTGGCTTCAATCTTCAAATGACCGTTAGACTGAGGGATCTAAACCAAAAGGAAATGCAAACCACAAGGCTATGGGTGTACTTATTGAAGTCGAGTGATGAAAACCAAAGTTTTGGTAACCACGGGACATTTTTTGTAATTTACTCTTATAAATGTTATATGATAATAAAATATGTAATGTTATTAATTGGTGGTGACGACAGTGGTGGCGGCGATGGTAGTTCTGTGTGGCACTGGTGGAGATGACAGTGGTAGTGGTGATGACAACGACAACAGTGATCGTGGTGTTGGAAACACTTGTGGTTGTGACAACGACAGCGGCGATAGGGCGACACAGGAAGTGAAGGAGGTGACGATTGTGATAGTGGTGATGACAACAACAACAACAATATTGGTGTTGGTAATAACAGTGATTATGTTAGTGGTGTCAGTGATATGTTTCTATGTTAAGGCTAATAGAAAGAGGGTATGATTGTCTTTATCAAGTCTTGATACAAAATGAAGGGTTTACCTAAGCTTATCATGTAAGCATTTACCAGCAAGAGTGACCACTATCATTTACCTTATGGGGTAACATTCTCAGTTATCAAAACAGATTGATGTTAAGCGTTTATAACATGGTAAGAACTTACTTGGGTAAGAGTCATCATCCCCACATACCAGTTGAGACTCTCGATCTTTGCCTTCTCTCGTGCCTAGTAAAATCTTTGGTCTTTATTATGTTCACCCGATAAAGTAATTAAACTGATAAGTGCTTACCAAGGTAAGTGTTTAATAAATGACCCAGAATTGTCCATTTCATGGTAGAACCAAGGAATCGACAATTCTATGAATGAGGGAAATATAAAGAAATTCACAGGTTCAATGATTTTCATTAAAGGATCCAAACACATAAATGGAATTTGGTTAACGAAGTTGATCATTCCAATTCTTTCAAATTCAAACAATACCTTAGGGCCCATTTTTGCAGGAATTAGAATTGAATTCCATTTGTGTGTGTGTGCATCGGTTGATTCTGGTTATAACTCGTTTGGGAAGATACATCAACGAGCACAGTTAAATGTTCTAATGAGTTAGAACACTTCAAGAGCATGCTTGTTATTGAAAACAAAAATGTATGTTAACTAAGTTTATCTGATTCAATATTCACCTCATAATTTAATATCCTATTTACAGGCATATATGTTTATTAATCGTATTCATATTTACAGGACATCGTGGCCGCTACCCTTGCTTTTCGAATATTTTTCACACGATGATGGTTTTCTCGGAAACAGTCTGGATCTCTTGAGGCAGAAGAAAAATCACGAATAATTTTAGCAATTTCTAAATAAATGTCTTGTTGCTTGTATTTGTTTTATTACTTGGCCATAGTTAATGGATTTACTTCAGAGGGTATTTTGTGTATATGCCATAAAGGATGATTCCAATCATTTTAGGACACAATTGGAGACATTTTAGGGTTGATTGTTTGTCTTTCTAAATGAATATAAGTTTTTATCATTATGAGGAATTGCACTTCATAAACCTCAATAAATTATTCTATAATATATATTAAGAAGAAACTAGAATAATACTCGTACAATGCAGCGAGATACATCTCGATTTTAATGTTTTATTTTATTATTTGTCTACGTTGATGTTATAATACGATTTTATGTGTTTTTAAGAAAACAATAATGATTTTATTCAATTTAAAGATATCATAAAAATTTGAAAATATATATATATATATATATATCAATGTTAATATCAAATCAACTATTTAAACGTTCTTATTTTTTTTATGTAATTTCTTTAATTTATTTTAA